GAGAACACAGTCCCTTTACCAATGGCATTCTTTCATACATAACTTGCCCTTAGGCATTTCATCATCTGAGTCACAAGTACCCAGCTCATTTCTCTTTCTGCCTTCAAGAATGAAAGCATGGAGGTCTTTTGTCTGAAAAAATATATTCAACAATAATGCTCATTAAACTTTGATAACTTTATGTTCTATTCTATATCACCGTTGGGCCGAAATAGAATAAAACATCATTCTTCTACATTAATTCCACATCACCGTTGGGCAGAAATGGAATTAACGTATAGAAATTCAATAATCTTGAAAACATAGAACTGCTCCTAAAAATTAAATTCTCCCGTTGGTTCGAATTTAATTAGAAGACAATCATCTTCAATGCAGCGGAAACATGAAAATACATTTCTCTAGTTTAAGAGCATTCTTTGATCTTTATCTATTCTCTGAAAATTGGTCACTTTGATGCAAAATTATCAAAGATTTAAACTTTAAACATAAAACTCATAAAATTATAATATTGTTATCATCAACGTTGGTCAGAAAATAACAATACCATAATTTAACTTTAAGCTTAAACTCATAAATGAACTTATAATATTGTTATCATCAACGTTGGTCAGAAAATAACAATATTATAATTCATCTTATCTATAAACCGACTATTCCTCCAATTATATATATTTTTTTCTTCTCTTTGGTTCCAATTTTAACTGGAGGATAAACTTTTCATCATTTACTGAATAACTATAACTGCTCTTCAAATTAGAAGACAATAAACCTTTAACTTTGCAGCGGAAAATTGACAAAATTTCTTTTTCTACTTTTCAGAAGCATTTTACTGTACTTTTCTACTCTCTGGAAAATCTAACACGTTGGTGCAATTTTACCAGAAATTTACATCTTCAAATTGATCAAAATTCATTCAAATATGCTTCTGAAAATTAAAATAAAATAATAAACTGAAAACTCTCCTTCTTGTTCATTTGGCCCGGAGGCCTGCTTGGCCCGAAGGCCTGATCTCTTGTTCGGCCCAAAGGCTTGCCAAGCAAAGCAAGCACACCCCGCGCCTGTGCCAAAACTCTCCTTCTTGTTCATTTGCCCGAGGCTGCTTGGCCCAAGGTTCTGATCTCTTGTTCGCCCAAGGTAGCTTCGCAAGAATACAGACCCGCGCTTGCCAAAGTCAGAACGGGCCTGGGCCGGGAAAGTGGCATCCCGCCTGGGCTCTATTCGGCCCGAAACAACGCTGGCCGTCTATCTGAATCCAACGGCCAGGCATTGATCTCGGAGGATCAAAAACCCCCACCGGCCGCGGCTCCCTCAACCCTAGCCTCATTCTTTCCCTCCCTTTCTCTCTCATCCGCGCCGAGTGTATCCAGAAGCAGCGCACGGCGTCCAGAGGAGGAAGTGGAGGTGGCGGCGCCGCCACGGCTTTCTCTCGCCCGGCAGCGTGCTTGCTGAAGCTAGGCCGTTGCTGCCGTCGAGGAGAGCCACGGTGGTGCTCTTTGCAGACCGAGCCCACGCGGTGGCGTAGCTCGGCCGTCTTCCCGCACGCCGGCGAGAAAGTCTCTTTTTCCCGCACGGTGGCGATGCCGACGGCGGGATGAAGGCCCAAGTAGGACCCTGTGTTCGTTCTCATCTTTGCTGGAATTTGGGGATTCTAGGGTTAGGGTTTCGGGTTAGGGATTCACCCTTTTCGAGTCACGGGTTTAGGGTTCGGATCAAGCGATCTTGAGGCCGAGCCCCTTCTATCTTCACCCAGTTAGGGTTAGGGTTAAGGAACCCTTTCTGTATGCTCAGATCCGAGGATCTAATCCATTCTTTTCCTTTGCTGTTCTCTTGATTCTCTTCCCGCGCGTCAGCAAGCCGGCGGTGGGTACTCCATCCCGCGTTAGGCGGTAGTGACAGCGGCGGGGAAGCCCTGGTAAGACTTCCCCCGGACCGCCGTCCATTTCTTTTCCCTTCTGTTAGGGTTAGGGCTATGGGTACCCCTCCCCTTTCTCTCTATTCTTTGCTAGGATTAGGGTTTCTACTTCTTCCGATTTAAAAACCGTTCATCTTCCCCACGCGGTTCTTCGTTCTTTGTCTAGATCCGAACGGATCTAGACCATCTTTTCTTTTCTAATCGATTTCTAGCCCCTGACAAGATCCACGCCTAGGTAAAACGGCTCTGATACCATTGTTAACTTCTTTGGATCATCTAGTAGTGGATCCAGTGGGTGAGTTCTTTTCTATTTGGGATAACTAGTGATTTAGAGATTCAGAGGGAGTAAGAGACAGAGAGAGAGAAAGGGAAATGTAGGAACATCTAACCGTCGGAGGGGTTAGAGGAGCTCCCTGCCTTCGGCTAGTTCGCCGGTGATGATCTGCGCTAGGCAGCGACGGTCGGAGAAGAGAGAGCGATGCAGTGAAGACCGTGGTGGCGCAGTGCAGTGGCGGCGGCGGTGCTTCCCGTCACTGGCTGCGCCCCTCTGTTAGATCGGAGTAGGGTTTCTTGGTGGGGCGTACGGCTCAGACGAACCTCGTACCGAGAGCCGCCGACCCCACCTCTATTTAATGCGCAGTGTGACGGGGGCCCGCCAGCCATAGATGGACTGGGCGCCCCCGATCAGGGCGCGAGGTCAAGGCCCAAGTGGCCGTTGGGCCACTGTGGTTGGGAGATCAAACCAACACGCACAACAGCACACAACCTTCAAATAATCACGTCACCGTAATCTAATTAGCTTCTCTCTGCAAACAATCGAAATCAACTTCACGTTAATCTAATAACCGCTCGCCATGGACTGTTGCTTGCAAGTCGCTTGGTACGCTGGCATGGAGGCGATAACGGAGCAGTCCAATTTCATCTTCTCGCCTATGTCCCTCAGGGCTGGGCTCGCGCTGCTCGCCGTGGGCACGCAGGGCCCGACGTTGCGGCAGCTGCTAACGTTCCTGGGCTCCGAAAACACGCGCCACCTCGATGTGGCCATTGCGAGGCTCCTCACCAACGTGAGCACGGGGCCACAGCTCTCCTTTGCCGCCGGCATCTTCGTGGACCGCACGCTTTTCCTCTCGCCGGAGTTCGTGTCCTCCGCCGTCTCTGCTCACCACGCCGTCGCAAGATCTGTCGATTTAAAGAATCAACCTGCGGCGGCGACCGCTGAGGTGAGCGCTTTCATCGAGCAGGACACGGCGGGGCGCATACGCAACCTCCTGTCCGATGGCGCGGTTCACCGCGACACCAAGGTCGTCCTCGCCAACGGCATGCACTTCAAGGCGACGTGGGCACGGAGGTTCGACCCGTCGGATACCGTTCGCGACAACTTCTACCGCCGCGACGGCGAGCCCGTGCGGGTGCCGTTCCTGTCGGACGCTGGCATGCAGTACGCCGAGAGCTTCGACGCCCCTGGCCCGGGGTTCAAGGTCCTCCAGTGCTTCTACAAGATGGTTGGGCCTGACGGCAGGCTGGACTCAAAGGCGCCCTGCTTTCTGCATGCTCATGTTCCTGCCGCACAGGCGCGACGGGCTTTCCCGACCTGCTCCGGCGCGAGCAGGTAGTCCGCCGGTGCAAGGTCCCCAAGTTCGAGTTCTCCTTCACGTTCGACGCGGTGAACGCGCTCTGCCAGCTCGGCTTTCCGAGCCGTTCGCGGACGGTGCCGACCTGTCGGTAGGGCTGGACAAAATACTCGTGGCTCGCTAACTCGCCCGACTCGTGGTCGGCTCGATTCGGCTCGTTTTAACTTTTTCACGAGCTTCGCTGTTTTAACGGCTCGTGAGTTGTTCATGAGCTAAAACAAGCTGAGGTCTATCAGCCCATGATCATAGATTAAAAAAATGACGATGATGATCTAGAAATGTCAACCTATTCTATTGGTATATAATCTTTATTTCCAGCTGATTTATATGGATTTTGATTTTATAATTGTCGTGGTACTTAATTGTTGATTTATGGATTATTTTTCAGGGAGAAGATGATAATGCTGATATTGAATTTGTGGACTTTTCTAAGTCTGTGGTGACAAGCAAATATTAAGTATGCTAGAACTGTATGTATCATGGATAGACCAACTATGTTTCATGATTAATACTTTTGATGAACCTGATGTGTATTAATCATATATGGTTACATAATAGTAGATGTGACCTTATAAAATTAATGTAACATAAACATTATAAACATGTGTGTTCTATTTTTCTTTTAGCAACTCAGGAGCTAAACGGGCCAGCTCGAGTTCGCTAGCAAGCTGAGCTGTGCCTCCAGCTCATAATATACGTTGAAGGCCGAGGTCTTATTCCTAGGCCACGTCATGGACCCTTCCAAGGAGGATTGAATTGAGATCGACTCGGAGGCGGCGCAGTCTTATGGTTTAGGGCCGGGGCCAGCCTCATACGGAATGATGGCTAGTTGGGCTCGGCCCTTCGGACTTCTTTTTTACCGTTTTCTGGAATGGTTAATCGTTAATGGCCCGTCCTGTAATATACGTTGAGACCTTTTTTTTTGTGAATAATATACGTTGAGACTTTTGCAGTCTTGTTTGGATTGTTACCACTTGCCGATGGCAACGTGTTTCACGACAGCTACGTGTTTGAAGTTTTTTTCGTGTTTGAAGTTTTTTTAAATAAAAAACTGCAGCTAGACCATATTCTGATAGAGAAAACATGACATCTGAGACATTGCGTTGTGGGCTAAAATGTTTGTTTATACTGTACCACCTAATTAAGAGCCCACATGGCATCCTTCCTCCAGTTTTAAATAGCTATATGCCATAATTTCGTCCACGGATTTTGGTACTTATATGTCTTATTAAACATTTTGCTTCTCTTAACCCTACAAGAAATGAATCTGATTTATAACTGCTATAACCGTACATGTGCAGATTACCAGATGAGAGGCTAGATTACCGTATGGTATAAACCAGGCTTGTTCTAAGGTACACGCTGCTAAGCTAAGAAGCAAAATCGTAAGCAAGACACTGTGTGTCGTCCTGCAAGGAGAACCAGATGAGGTAACGATGCTGAGGCAGCAAAACTGATCACTTATTCCCCTCTTTCTTGTCGTCCTTCTTCTCTTCCTTAGCTGGGCCGACCGAGACGACGTCGATCTTTCCGAACTTCTTCAACTTCTTGGCGATGAGGACGGTGTCCACTTCACCGATTACGGTCATCTTCTGATCTTTGTGATCAGCGGCTATCGAATCAATTCCTGTTTGTTAAGATTATACATATGAATGAAGAAAAGAAAGAAAACAACATATGCTCATAATACGTGTGTATAGCAGGAGAGCTCAATTTCATAACAGAGACACCAATAATGACTCGCTTTACCGAGGCAGGATAAAAGAATAACCGAACTAATAAAGAAGCTGAAAAGAGAATAACTGAAGAAGGGCGATAAAGTGTGAGGCGACACTGTGACGGTGGAAGCTAGCTAAAATCAAAACGTACCGTAGATATCTGCAACAGTTTCCATTGCCTTCTGCTTCACCTTCTCACAGTGGCGGAGCCAGGATTCCAAACTTGGGTATTCCTACTTCCACGTCAATAAAAAAAATCAGTTGTTTTTAACTGCAATGAGTGAAAATACTACAAAATATGAGCCAATTTGAGAGGCTATTTTTTACTGTTTTGGGCTTCAATGAGTGAAAATACTATAAAATATGGCATTATACATATACAAGTATATACACATATATACATAGAAGTGTGCTAAAATAGTTGGGTATTCCTGGGAATACGGAGAATACCCTCTGTATGGGAAGAAGGAGATCTTCAAGACCACCTTCTGCTGGCATGGGAAGAAGGCCAGGAGTTAATTAGAACATTATCCGGGTTCCGGGAGCAGCCTGAGGCAGAGAAGCATTCGACGACTTCTGCAACGAACTGGAACCATACCTGCGGCGCCATCCTGGAGGAAGAAAGATAGAGGCTGCTTTATTTGATTTTCGTCGAACCCTGCAATGAGCCAATGAGCCGATCCACAGTGCTGCCTACATATCGACGCAAAGCATAGATAGACACCTCACCGTTTCTTTTGTATTTCTTTTCGCGCTTTGCGTTGTGGGCCCAAGCCCAACCCATGCGTTCACCACTGACCAGCATGGGCGGAATGAAAACAACACCTGAGAGGCAGAGAGTGGGTAGACATGCTAATCGTCAGTCCGGTGAATCCCGAAAAAAATATTCCGTCCAAACTACGACTTCGTAAAAAAAAAACCATACAAAACATACTCCCGACTTTAAAAAAATCCGGATATATATATATATATATATATATATATATATATATATATATATATATATATATATATATATATATATACCATGTAGTTGGTTAAAAAATAACATATTATGTAGCCACTTTGAGTTACAATAATTACTATGTTAATTTACGAGATTATAGTAACTCCTTATTAAGTGGTTTACTATAATGTTATGATAAATATTCCCATGTGTCATAGTAACCCAACTATCGTAAATATGTATTGACATTATCGTAAATTAGTATATAAAATTATCGTAAATGGAGGTGGTTTACTGAATATACTCTCCATTTCATAAAAAATCGTCCAGAAATAATAAATTTTATGTGCATATGCACCATGAGACGACACCTGAAATTTTGTTATCTTCGCATGAATTTTAGATCATAAGTTCTCAAATTTTGTGACAACGTATATCTATATATGCACTGTGGACATGTGTCGTTTTAAATTTAAGTATAATTTTGAAGGTTTTACAATTCCATTAGGGGCCGTTTGGATCCCTTTATTTTGAAAGAATTAAAATCTACTTAATGGATTAGACTATTTGGCTTGGAATTTGATATTCCGTAACTTTTCCAAACTCACAAATAAGCCTATCTCAAATTCATAGGGTATGAGATGGAAATGGATTCTATAGATCACTATGCTATAATTCAACTCTCCAACTTATAGCACACTCTTCAACTCACATGCCTATAAAAAGAAATGCAACATATAAGTATGTCCCTGGTATGCCTAACAATAAATATACAAATATATTCCATATACAACTATATTAGCTTAATTAATCTATATCTAAATTGTAATTATTAGAATGAATTCAATTCTAAGGATTCAAACGGCCCGATGTAGTTTACACTGAATTATAGACTGCCAAAAAACGCAGTATGATATTGAATATTTTTCTCATGGATCCCAGAATTTGATAGTCCATTTTAAAACAGCATGTGAAAAGGTTCCCGCGTGAACGTGTCAATGGCGGCGGCTCAGACCTGCCAAGTGCCAACTGCCATTACCACCTTGCTCTGGGTCCTGCAAATACAATATTCTCATTTTTTTTCTTAGATTCAAAAAGTGTAAAGTTTAACCGAATCTATATAAAAAGTATCAATATTTACAATACAAAATAAGTATCGTCATAAGATTAATATTGAAACATATTTTTGTAGTAAACCTATTTGAAGACATAAGTGTTGATATTATTTTCTATAAATTGAGTCAAACTTTATAATTTTTTATTCTACCAGTCCTAAATTAAATCTTTTTTTTTTTGCAAAAGTCCTAAATTAAATCTAGAATAACACTGTGATCGGAACAGAGGGAGTACACGATTTCTCTGCCCGGCTAGCTTCGTCCCTAATCCCTATCCAAGGTCAGGTGAGGTTGGTTGAGTCTGGTGGCTGTACACTTCCTAACACAACGACCCGGAGAAGCAAGGCAGCGCGTGAACAGCTGCAGAGCGCAGGCGCAGCCGCGCAGCTAACCAGAAGCGAAACGAGAATAGTTTTGTTAGCCTTTTGCCGTACTCTTGCTACCGTGCATGGATAAAAATCGCGGTGACGTTCGATGACGCAAATCAGCAGGAGAGAATGGAAGTTAGTGGAAGCTCCACTTTACGTGACCTTCAGGTCAGCAGACTCAGCACGCGGCCAAAGGCGAAAACAACCATCCGGCGGCTGGCCACCGTTCGTCCTCAATCAAAATGCTACAGTATATATATGATTCCGACGCTGCAGTGAGCAGACGGCACGGAGGGAGCGGAATAAGTAGGCATGCGGTCAGCATCAGGGATCCAGGGGCGACGATACCGCACTGCGGCATCGCGTCGCGGTCTTTGTTGATCAATGATCCATGCGTTCCCCTTCCCCATCCTACACGCCCAAACAAGCCAGGCACAACTGAACGGCCGAGCAGAAAATTGAATTCAGGCACATGAGCTCGGTTACCGCGATAGGGAAGTGGGGAGAAAAGGGAGGGACCACGGCGTGGTGTTTTCGTCGCCTCGATCATGCGTCTGTTGTCAGCTCGTCCTCGCTCGGCGAACGCCGGCCATATGCCATCTGATTGAGGGACGATGGAGGCCGCGGCCGCAGCGAAGGCGTCCCGGGCCTCCTGGCTCGCTCGGAGCCTGGCCGCAGCAGCGCCTTGTTACAGCGGCGTGTTCGTCTTCTTCGCCGCGCTCGTCGCCGGAGCTCTCGTCTCCGCCTGCTGGATGTCTGTCAGCGCCAGAGTAAGGTTCCCTGCAGTACCTACCTGTTTCTTTTTCTTCCATGGCGCACTCTCTCTTCTGTGATGTCTGTCTGTTGATCGATTCTTTGGCTCTCGACACACATGGCGAGTAGTAGTTGGGTAATCTGTTCAGCCATATGCTTGCTTGGTTGTTGAATAACAACGTTACGTTAGAATAGTGGCACAGCTGCCGACAAGTTTCTACAACCTGCACACCACATCGTCAAACTCATTTACTTCGTTCAACGATTTTTTTTGAACAAAGGGTCAAGCTTATGTGTGAATTGCTTCTCTTCTCTTCTTATGCAACTGTTTTTTACTGATTCTAAGTTACAGGTCACTCCGATCACTCCTGTCGCCGCCACTCAATCCATAGCACACAACGCCGCAACGGGGCAGGTGCCAGCGCCGGGTCCGCCATGGTTCACCGGCGTCATCGGCGGGAGCACGAACCAAACGCCGTCCGCGGCGCCCAGTTCCGCGCCACCGCCTCGGGAGGTGCCAGTGCCAGCGCCAGCACCACCCACCCCGGCGCCCGCGGAAGCAGCCGTGCCGCCGGACTGCCCGTCCTACTTCCGGTGGATCCACGAGGACCTGCGGCCGTGGCGCGCCGCGGGGGTCACGCGCGACGCGGCGGAGGGCGCGCGCCGGCTATTCGCGCCCAAGTTCCGCGTCACCGTGGTCGCGGGCCGCCTGTACGTGGCGCGCTACGGCCGGTGCTTCCAGACGCGGGCCGCGTTCACGCAGTGGGGCATCCTGCAGCTGCTCCGCCGCTACCCCGGCCGCATCCCGGACCTCGACCTCATGTTCGACTGTGAGGACCTGCCCGTCGTCAGCGCTGGCGACCGCCACCAGCTGGCCCAGGCTCCGCCGCCGCCGCTGTTCCGGTACTGCGGCAGCGAGACGACGCTGGACATCGCCTTCCCTGACTGGTCATTCTGGGGTTGGTAAATATATACGCACGTTGCCGTTCTTCGCCATGATCATGTATGTTCGTAATGCTCCGTAATCTCTCGAGTCACAAAGTGCTCCGTTCTTCTTTGAATTTGGAAGGCCTGAGCTTAACATAAAGCCATGGGAAGCGCTGCGGAGGGAGATCAACGAAGGGAACGCCATGGTGAACTGGACGGACAGGGCGCCGTACGCGTACTGGAAGGGGAACCCCATGGTGGGCGCCGAACGCCTGCTCCTCCTCAGGTGCAACGCGTCCGGCAAGCGTGACTGGAACGCGCGGGTATACGCGCAGGTACACTCCTCTCTGAATCGTGTGCAGGCGCGCGGAAACACACTCGCCACGGCATGGCACGTGACGTGACACTGACACGGGAGGCTACAACTTTCAGGACTGGGGAAAGGAGGTGCGGCACGGATTCAGGGGATCGGACCTGTCCAAGCAGTGCACGCACAGGTAGAATCACATGAGCTTGTTCGCCATAACATCACAGCTAGCTGGTGCACCTGCTATGCCGTGCCACATTTTAGTATGCTTTGCGCAGGTACAGGATTTACATCGAGGGGCGGGGGTGGTCGGTGAGCGAGAAGTACATCCTGGCGTGCGACTCGGTGGCGCTCATGGTGCGGCCGAGGTTCCACGACTTCTTCTCGCGGGGGCTGTCGCCGCTGCGTCACTACTGGCCCGTCCGCGGCGACCGCGGCATGTGCCGGTCCATCAAGTACGCCGTGGACTGGGGCAACGCTCACACGGACAGGGTACCTTCCCCGATCGACTTCACCTTCCGTATACTACTACGAATTCCGAACAGAACCAATACCAAACGCTCTCGTCTGGCAATGGCAGGCGCAGGAGATGGCAGGGAACGCGAGCAGGTTCATCCAGGAGGAGCTGACGATGGAACGCGTCTACGACTACATGTTCCACCTCCTGACAGAGTACGCCAGGCTGCTGCGGTACAGGCCCGCGGTGCCGCGCGGCGCCGCGGAGGTGACCGTCGAGTCCATGACCCGGGGAAGGCGGGGGCTGGAGAGGCAGTTCATGATGGACACGGCGGTGGCCAGCGCGAATGGCGAAGGCCCCTGCAGGCTGCAGCCGGCTTACAACGCCGAGGAACTAGAGGCGCTGCGAAGAGCGAGAGAGGAGGCGGTGAGGCAAGTGGAGGCGTGGGAGAGTGACGGTTGACACGCGTAGAGAGAATAGGAGGTATGGTGGAGGATTGCACTTTTTTTACCTCCAAATTTGGTCAAAGGATCGAATTTGTAGAGTAAATATCTTTTTAATCAGTATTCTAATATAAACAACTAATAGTGGGCCATGAACCGGCAGTATCATTGTCTAGTGTGTTATTACTAGCGGTTGAAGCCACGAACCGATAATAATATAATTATCACTGCTAGCTCCACCATAACCGGCAGTGATGGTCCGGTAGTGATTGCGTGTTCGGCCTTCTAGAGCAGCTGTTGCCCGCGCCTCCGTCGTCTGCACGCGAGCTCGACGAGCGCCAGTCCTCTTCCTCTCTTTCACCACCGGCGAGCTCGGCCGCAACCGCACAACCTCGCTCGCACAACCCGGAGCACTTCCTCGCCCCCGCACGCGGCCACTGCGCCTACGCGGTGCTACACTCGGAGGGTCGCCTCGCCTCTGCGTCAGCCCTTCACGCTAGCCTAGTCGTCTTCTCCCTCGACACTGGTGCCGGCCTAGCTCGTGCTTTGTTCTTTCTCATGATTCGCACATGTGCGTGCAACGCTCATTCCACTTAGGATGATCCTGCACGCAATATTTCTAGGGTGAAAGAGCAAAAATCCAGAAGGTATATTTTCTAGCAGGATGATCCTACCCCCAAACACTAAGCCAAAGTAGGATATCCACCTGGGATTTTTCCATCCTTAGAACCAAAGCACTAAGTTAGAGTAATTTAAGTCCTTATTCTCTTTTTCATAGGCCCCGTTCGGCTTGTTGAAACTGGTTGAAAAACACTGTTCTGGCTGAATTGTTGTGAGAGAAAAACACTGTTTCGCCTGAAAAAACAAGCCGAACAAGCCGGTTTCTAGGTAAGTGGGCCATAGTACGATGAACGGATAGCTTAACCTAAATAAATTTGCATTTTTTAAAACTAGCAGCCTAACGATGGATGAAATTCAAAGCCAAACTCAAAAGAGTTGAATCTGAGGAGTAATACTGTGATAGCACCGAATCAAAGAGTGTAATGATCACACAAAATCAATGACTCAAGTTATAGCTGCCGCATTTCAACAGTGATATTATTTTAGGTACAATGTATCAGTCGATAGCAAGATGTCTACGCTAACTTCGTTAATCTCAAGATTTATTGGTTCACAACTCAGTTACACACAAAGAGGATATGCGTGCGTACGTGTATGTGTTACTGGGTTTGGTAAAAGAAAAACTTTCCTCACGTACCAATACTCTCAGTAACCCTATCCCAATCCAGAAATGCTATAGGACACATGTGTGTTTTATGGTTTGTTGGCACATGAATTTTCTGTCCATCGAATTTGGCACGTGTCGCTGCGTCTGATTCTGTGCTTTGCGTCACACGATTTTTTTGGCCGTCGGATCTGGCCATGGAGCTATCTGCGCCCTTCTTCATTTGCCCCGTCGCCTTTTCATTTTGCATTTGCGTTTTGCTCTCTGACCCGCGTGGCCCACAAGTCAGCTCTTTTTTTTTTTTGGAAACGCGCGCCTTTATCTCTTTTGAACTGTTCATTTCCTTTCTCCATTTCATTTCGTCTCCCCTGGTTCTGGTGGCGGAGCTGAGGCGGAGCCCTAGGTGGAGGGGCTCTCGGCCGGCGATTCGCCATCGTTTGTGAGTTTTATTTACAGGTTTTGATTCGATGTTGTAGATCTCTTCGTTCCCGACCTGATTTTGTCTGCATTTATCGGTTTTTTGTTCTTTGTCGATGTTATTGCGGAGGCTGAGTCGATTCCCCTCCAGAGCCTGTGGCGGAGGTGCTTGCCGTCGTTGATCTACCGTCGTTCATCTGCCGTAGTTGGTGAGTATTAGCGCTTCTAAATGAATTAGATGTTGACCTGTTTGCTTCTAAATGAGCAACGACGGCCTTGATGCGTGCAGGTCATGAGAGCTCCTGCGACGGCGGCTGCCCCTTATGCCATGCTGGTGGTGGTGTGGCATCTAACCCGGCGCCGCCGAACCCTTCTCTCGCCTGGCGCTGCCGTATTCCTCTCCGCTGGATCCTCCACTGATGGCCGCCCCTTCTCTCCTGCGGGCTGCGGCGACGACTGGGCGGTTGCCGCCGTCGCCCTACCCCAGGTGCCGAGGTCTCTATCTTCGGGATCTTCGCCGCCGACGAGAATCCACCAGGTACGCTCATGGCCCACCCCTTGTCTTCCTTTCACTGCTGTGCGGAACCGAGCTTCCAAACTCAAGCAATTTGTATTCGTATCCGATCTGATAGGCGCGTGTGTAGCTGAAGGGGTGGCAACAGGCGGCTGGTGCATTTGGTTCTGCGTTTGGATCTTGGTGAGACTACTTGGAAGCCAGCGTTGGAGCATGTGCTGCAACGAATGAAGAACACTGCAGAAGGCAGGGTATACACATACTGCCCTTCTCTAGTGTGTTCTAGTTGTCCTAGACCATTTATGGCTGCGAATTCCTTGATAGCTTTCGATAATAGCAGATTTTTTAAATCAAGTGCAGAATTACCACAATAGTGAAACGGTTGTTTACTTGTTTTTCTCATTTGAGAATGAAATTACATAACGATGACGAGTTCAAATAGCAGGCAGCAACATGATCTAATTGTGATGATAGCAATTATTTAGTGGCTCTTTGTTCAATATTAGTTATTCCAAAGCAAAACTTGGGCAGTAGGGACTAGGTTGCTCGATTGTTCAGTGACAACTCTTGGCTTCATTTGTTTGCTTATTATACTATTTCAATTAAGTTTGTATTGACAAGATATTCTTTCAGTAACAAGGCTGGCAGAGTGATAGAGTATGGCTCTGCTGTGTGTGTAGTGTATCTGTTTGCGTGGTTTTTTTTATTATTATTGTTTGTTCTGTGTTTCCTGTAGATTCTTTCAGTGTATCTGCTATTTTTTAATTCTATTTTTGTTATTATTTCATGTTTTGTTTTTTTGTTGCGGAGGCGGAGGCGTAGGCCGAGGTCGAGGGTTAGCCGTAGGTCCACGCCGTGTTCGATTCAGAGCTGTTCGTGGCTGAGCCGGAGGTGGAGGCGGAGGCAGAGTTCGGGCCTGAGTTGGATTCATTTTCTTCTCCGGCGCTGAGTAGTTTTTGTGGTGAGTTTATGTATCCAAGTGTTCTTTTGCAAGTTGTAGATCCTTTTTCCTGGTCTTTGTTCATGTTGAGTTTTTTAGGGTTTGTTTTAGATCTTGTATTTCTATTTAGTGATATTTACCTGTTCTGTAGATGTTATATAATTTGATGGTAAACGTGATGAATTTGATAGAGTCATCAATATATTTTGGTTGAAATTATCTGATCTTTTCTATCTGTAGATGTTAGCCGTTGTTGAATTTTTTATTGCTTAGATTGTAGTTCTTAGGTATGGCAATTTTGTTGAGGATACTGTTTACTTAGGGAAATGAATTGTTCTTTGTGTTTTTTTTTTGTAAATGGTTTTCTGTCATTTATATAGTATGTAATGCTTAACGTGATGGTTTGCATGGTATTATTGTAATAGTTGGATGCTATAGTGTTTTGTGAGTGGATTAGGCTTAGTTGTGTTTTGTGTTATTATGTTTTTGCTTGCTTTTAAATTTCAGTTGATTCACAATTTTTTGTTAAGCTTTGTTAGGCTCATCCCATCATGCCAAACTGAGCTTGCTCCTTCCAGTATTATTGTCATTGATGAATTTTTCTGATTATATGGTTTACTCTGTAATATTTGTGTTTATCATCATACTATAGTGTTTGTTGTTGATAAGTTAGAAATCATCTTTTTCTGTTTTGGTTTTGTAGTAGTGTGTTTTTAATTGTCCTTTTGTAGTCTTTCTCCTTATATAAGCTGTAATGTATGTGTATCGATATCTTTTTCTTTTGTGTGTTAGATGTTTCTTTCTATTTTTTTGGATTGGTCTTCTACTTAGCTGTTGTCCTGTTTTTTTTGTTTATGATAGTGTCCTTTGTTGTTTGGATTGGTTTTATTTAGTTATTTGCTTTATGTGTTCCTTGGACTATTTGGTTTTAGAAATTCTATTTTTTGATATGTTTGTCTTAGGTAGTTTCCTCAGACTTTTTGTGATTTTGCCTTTCATAGAAAATTTCTGGTTTTTGTTTTTTTAAATTCTGTTGTTTGGTATGTTGATATTTGAGCTGTAAAGATCTTTAGGCATTGGCTAAGATGGTGACAATTTTTTAGTACCTGAGGTACTTCTCTACTCCTAAATTTATCCCATTTGTGTGTTCTGTATTCCAAAAACTATTCCAATATAGGTTAGATTTTTGTTAATCCAGTTGCCAGTTTTCTTCTATGTTTTTTTGTTATATTCCAGAATTTGTACTACTGCTCTAGCTCTAAATAATGGTTTCCTGGTTATAGGTATCCTAGTTATAGTGTATCCTTGTCCTTTCGTAGAAAAAAATTATCTCTTATGATTTGTGCTAACACTTCATAAACTTTGATAATTCTGATTTATGCCAACGCACATCTTATTTTTGTCCTTGTCCTTACATAGAAAAAATTATTTAATGTGATTTGTGCTAACACATATTGAAAATTGTTTTTTGTGATTTGTGTCAGTACACACCAATTTTTTATCACCGCTAGTAGTGATTTGGCTTTTGAGTAGATATATAGTAAGGTTCATCACTCTTGTGCTCCTTCAGTTTCTTTTAGGGAATTTTTGCCACAGGACATCACGAAAACGCATATTTTGCTGCAACACACCGCCAACGCCATCGTTTGCTGAGTACCATTATGAATTCGATTATGTTTGCCACAGCACACCGCGACCATTATTTTAATGATTTCTAGAGTTTGGGAGAGAGAAACCGCAGTGAGGAGACAATTTTGCCCCTGCGCGTTGTTGGTCTGGTTGGACCAGGTAAAGTTGGCCCGGTCGTCTCCCTCCTACCGCCACCTCCCTTTTTCTTCCTCTGCTGGCGCCGTCCCGTTCCCCTATGCAAGAACCCTAGATCCCCATGGCTTCGAGCTCGCAATCCACGCCGTTCGGAGCGTCGCACTCGGCCTACAGAGACGAACTTCGCATTCCAGAGCTCGAGCCCTACAGAGATGAAGCAGGATTCTTGCCATTGGTACCTTGCTCCAAGTGCGGAACCCTTCTCATCGGTCGCGTTTCACATAAGGAGGGCAGCAAGGGGAAGCGGTTCTACAAGTGTCCACTGTTGGAGCATGTAAGTTGTGGTGGAATTGCATCTCTTTTTTGGATGCGTTTTTTTGTTGATTTTTTCATCTCTGGTTTGCAGACCGATTATGTCTGTCGCACATACTACTTTGAAGAACACTATGTCCCTTTGTTGGTCTCCAAAGGTGTTCTTCCTCGCCATTTCAGTCAGCTTAGAGGTCGTGATGGCATGGGGCTGGAGGTGAGGAAGGATGGCAAGGACATGTTGAAGGCCTGCCAAGGTGTTGATGCCTGCCAAGAACTGATGGAGTGCAGTCATTCATCTCAAAGATTCAGAGGCACTGCTTAAGGCATTAATTGATAGCAATAGCAAATTGATGACAAAGATGGATAAGATTGGAGAGAGACTGCTTGTAGTTGGTGCTGTAAAGGTGTTTATTTTAGTTTTAGTTTTGTTAGTGTTGTTGGTTAAGTGATGCATAACAATAGCTTATCATGTATCAAGCTATCAGCAGCTTATTTCAAAGACTCAATTTGTGAACCTTATCATGTATCAGTATGTAATCATGTATCCAGCATCTTATCTTGCATCTTCTTGCAACAGAATTGTGTCACACTCATTTTTGAACTGGCATAACACATAATTGTATCACACTCAGGAATTAAGATAAATTGGCATAACACATAATAAAGTCAGCATGCCAATAAAGTCTGGCCTTCATAACAAGCTTACATATCAGTGTTCATAACACAGCAGCCATAAGCTATGACTTTAAGCGCAAAAGGGAAACATAGTCTGCCAACCCTAGGTTCAGTACACACTAGGTTCATTACACAACAGTTTCATTACATAACAACTAATAAATTTTGTCATCACATGTCTATGATCAACTTCTTGTTGATCCTCTTGTTGGTCATCTCTTCTGAAACAACCACTGTTTTGCTTGTTTCTATACTCTCAGACTTCTTTTTCTTGGTGGTCTTGCTCACTTTGCTTGCCTTGGTTGTCTTCTTGCTCAGGTCCTTCTTCATTCTTTTCCCTTTCTTTTTCTGCCTCATGTCAGCTGTTGGGGGGGGAAGTTTCAGCAGCATACTCCAATGCCCTCTTGTGACTGTTAGACACATAAAACAATAGGAATGACAGGAAAAGGTGAGGAAACAAGTGACAATGCTGGGCTATTTCAAGACAGAGATTAAATACCTCCTAGTGTTTGCTGCTGGGCTGTTAGTCAGAGCTGGTGGTGCAACACTGATTTCTTAAGACAGAGCTGGGCTGTTAGTCAGAGCTGGTGGTGCACCTTCCATTTGTGATTGTTGGGTGGATACAGTTGTTGCTGCAGCAGTGGTCTTCTTTGTCCTTGATCTCTTTGCTGGCGGTGGTGCATCAGAGTCATACACAGTCTCATTGCATGTCTTCATCATGTGACCAAACTGACCACACCTCTTGCACTGTCTCTGGGAAGTTGACTTTCCACCTTCTTCAACACCTTTGATCCTCCTAGTTCTTGGACGGTCTGCAGCTCTCTTCAACAATGGGGGCCAAAGTTTGAAACCCATATCTACTTCAGGCCATTGATTCCTATCGGTCATGGGCTTGATCACATGTTCTTATGCCTTCTTGAACTTATCAACTAAAAAGTAGTCATCCACATAGTCCTCAACACTTCTATTGCGCATTGAATGGATGAGACAGAGAGCATGAGTACATGGCAATCCAGAAATCTGCCACCTTTGACAGCTGCATGTTCTGCTCTCAAGATCCACAGTATGCCTCCAAGTTTTCAATTCTTTAGTAGTACCTTGAATCTCTGCAGTGTTGTTGGGCCCCTTATGTATGACATACTGCAAGTTTCTACTCATAGCATGAAGTTATTTGGTGACTTGAGGCAAGATCTTGTCTGTCAACCTCAGTGACAATGTCCTTCTGATATCTTGCTTCTCCATGATCATTTGCCTAATCCTATCCAACAGAGGAACTAAGGCAAGGGACTTTTCATTCCTAATCCAACTGTTGAAAGTCTCTGCTATGTTGTTAGTAACATAGTCACATTTGCATGCATGGAAGAACCTCCATCTACACCACAAGTGCTTGTGGTTGTCCTCTATCCATTGCATTGCTCTTGGTGATGCAGCCTTTATGATGTTGTAATGGCGACCAAAGTGTCTTTGGTTGTAAGCCCTGCTGGCTGGCCACAAGTGCTTCTTGAACACTACACCTCTATACCTCTTGTTGAAATTCTTCACTAGATGTCTCATGCACTCCCTATGTTCTACTCCATCTGAGAAGACAGAGGCAACTCCCTTATCTATACCTTTCCCTGCATCTGTGCAGATCACTAGGCCTGGAGGAGATCCAATGGCAACTTTTAGTTTCTCAAAAAACCACTGCCAGTTGTCAGCAGATTCTGACTCAAATACACCATATGCTACTGGAAAAAGCCAGTTGTGTCCATCCACAGCTGAAGCAGAAGCTAGTTGCCCTCTCCATCTCCCAGTTAGGTGGCTTGAGTCCACACCAAGGAAGGGTCTGCATCCATTCAAAAAACCTTGAACACAGTTGTTGAATGCCACAAACATCCTTGTGAACCTCATCTTCTTCCCAACCAGAGCCCACTCAATGTCCACAATGCTTCCTGGATTTGTCCTCTCCACCACAGCCTTGAATCTGAAAACATCTTCAAAGCTGTCATCCCACTTGCCTTGAAGCTCTTCCAGAGCCATTGCCATTCCATCCCAAACAACATAGTATGAAAGTGTGATGTTGTACTTTTTCTCCAAATCCTTCTTCATTTGGGAAGCTCTAGCTGTTGGGTCATGCCTCAGGATGTTAATAACCCTGTCCCTCACCCAGTGATTGTTAGCCATGCAGTTTTTTTTCCAGATTTGCTGTGGTAGCACAAGTATGTTTCTGATACATCTTCTTTATCTGCCAACAACAAGTAGACATCAATAAGTAAACATCATGATCATCAACAAACATCATCAATAAGTATACATCATTAAACATCATGAATAAGTAAATATTAGCTTTGAAAAATGTATCCTCCACTTGCAATTGAGAACAGACCTGCCAAGTTTTCCCATCCTGCAATTGAGAAGCATGTATCCTCCACTTGCACCTTTTGTTCTTGCTCTTGTATCCTTTGCAGTGCCCTCTATACCTTTTGGCTTCACTATAATGAGCTGCAATTTCAAATTCTTTTAGAATAGCATACTGTCTAATAGCCCTCTTAAATGTGTCCCCATCCTCAAATGTGACACCACAAGCTATAGTTGGGTTCTCTAAGTTAGTAACATGCTCAGAAGTCTCACAACCAACTTCATCATCAACTAACAAATCATCATGAACAAAAGAGTCAGAGTCAGCAGCTCCTTCTTCTTGGTCATCTTGTTGGTCTGCCATATATTGGTTCTCATCATTGATCCCAACATACTCCTCATCATCTTCTTCCCATGCCACATCATCATCATCAGGCTTCTTGCCTCTTCCCTTTCTTCCTTGAGCAGGTATGGATTTCTCAGCTGATTCACCAGAGTTAGTTGAGTCAACAGTGTCTGAATCACTCACTTCCTCGCTGAGAGACTCAACAGTAGCACATGCCTCATTATCCAAAGACACACTCTGACTAAATGAAACATGAATTGTATCATAGAAACTCACAAACAAAGGTAGCCTCCTTAGCTCCCAATAGTTCTCAGTAGCATTTATCAAAGTTGAATCAGAGGTTAGACTGGTATAACTTTGCTTGTGCTTGTTAAAAAAACACAAATTGAACCCCTGATTCTTCCTAGGACACACTCTTTTAGATACATCCGCAGTTAAATTCTTGAGATTAAGAGTGTCCCTATCCCGAATTAGCTGAAAATCTGTTGCACTGTGACCAACGTGCCTACCGTCATCGCAAACCTCATAGTAAGCTAGGACACGCACCGCTATCCGTATTGCAGAACTAATGTCCATCCTTAAAAGAGTGGACAAGAACAAGAATTCGTGAAAACCCTAACTAAATCGTCCTCGATTTCATTGCAAGACAAGAACAACAAACAATTGGTGGAAGAGGGGAAAGTGCATACCCGTCAGGAACCCATGATAGATTCACCCCCTTCGACGGTGAATCGATGCTCGGGCGGAGCCGCTTCTGTTGCACCAGCGAAGCCATCTTCACGCATCCATGTAATGGCACGGCGGCTACGACGGCGAGGGTGGAGTCGGGGGTGGCAGCGAGGGGCGTGGCGAGGGTAGCAACTGCGGGTGGCAACGGAGAGTGGCGGTGAGGCCGTGAGGGAGGTGACGGCGGCGAGGGAGAGTGGTGACGGCGGAAGGGAGAGTGGAGAAGACGAGCTGCGACGGCGTTGACCTGGTTTGGCTAGGGTTTGGCTCGACCTAGTCGGGTCCGGCTCAAACCCGGTCTGGCTCCACCAAGTCGGGTCTGGTCGACCAATGCCGGTTCACAGGGGCATCTTATGTCATTTTAGAAGGTTTCTCTCTCTCCCAAACTCTGGAAATCATTAAAATAATGGTCGCGGTGTGCTGTGGCAAACATAATCGAATTCATAATGGTACTCAGCAAACGATGGCGTTGGCGGTGTGTTGCAGCAAAATATGCGTTTTCGTGATGTCCTGTGGCAAAAATTCTTTTTCTTTTATGTACAAATACATGGTACTGTTTATTTGTCACTGCTGTCCAATTGTTATGTGCTGAAATCAGTTACTTCTCAGTTATCTGTCCATGCTGATAAATCTGTGCCATTTCTCTTATTTGCTAGCTGCTTTTCTTCTCAGTTCTATCATAACGGTGGCAGCAGCTGGCATTCAGCAATGCCCTCTGTAGCTTCACCAATTCAGTTCAGAGAATCCATCTTTCTTGTTTAGTTCAGAAGCAGTAACCAGTTTTGGTACTTTCAGATGGTCTGTAGCTTTTCTTTTCCGGTGCTTGGACTCTATCAGCACAGATCCTTCCGGTGCCTCTTCTCTTGGTTTTGTACGTTCAGATTTGAAGTTCATTCAGTTTCTCGTGCTTGCTGCTATCGGTGAACGGACTACGTGTCTCAAATGCGTGTTTGGTGTTTCAGTAGTACCTCTTGAGTTAAACGTTGGATTGCGTTTTCTAGCTTGTGAAGTGACATGACTTGATCTTTCAAGCACCATCATGTCATTTGTACGCAGTCACTAGCTGTTGGCGTTGAGCTCGATCTGGTGGATTTCAGTGTTGCATTGTGTTAGCTGTACTCTAAAGAAATAGTATGCTATCTTGTGTTTTGCCTGGAGCATTAATTAATTCTATGAGAGAAATAATCTTGATCTTATTCAGTTCAATTCACCTGCAGCTTGTGTTGTTCTTCCCAATT